GATTGGGTCTCTCAGGTGAGAAACCTAGAGAGTAGAATAACTGGCAAAGACGTAGGGGTGCCAAACATTTACCCGAGCCCATTGCTGTGCCATTTGAATCCAAATACCGCGTTGGAAAACACTGTGAACTTCGTCCCAGAGCTTATCGTCAATTTCAATTTGACGCACCGCCTGAAATTGTAGATTCAGAGGATTTCCAGCTGATTAAGAAATTGATAAACCCGTGCTCAGACCAGCCGAAAAAGGACAGCGAAGTACCTGACCTTGATCAGAACCATGTTAGACAGCACTGTCATCGCGAATGCGGCCGACATTTCCTGCGAGTATTTATCCGAATGCGAGCAGATTCTCGTAGCCGACTGACACAAACGGTACATCAGCTCGGACCTAACGTAATTTTCATGTTTATGGGTCAATCAACCTAGACAACTATTTAGTACTGGTAAGGTAAGTTCTTACCAAACCCTGACAGATAACGGTCTTGCGAGATTCGGTCGATGTGCAACCAAATCGCGGCAGGTGCGAAGAATAGCGTATGAAGTAGTGACCGCTGACGCCAGGCGATCGCCAGGTTGAAGAAGGTAAGGTGATTGGAAGAAGGAAAGCAGCATATTGATGAGTAGCAGCGATGACGACTCCACTGGCACCTGCAACAGTTGAGACGCACATTCGATCGCCCAGAGACCCCAAGTGGAAACAGTACAAAGCATGCGCGAAATCTGAACCGCCTTGTAAGAGCAACGGTCTCAGCTGTAGGATCTGCACGTAGCTACTGCCTCACATAAGGCCCCATTTATACTTCGTGATTAGAGCGATTTGGTCGCGCGACTGCTTCACCGCGAATCGTTGGACCATGGCGACGCTCGGAATGAAACTGATTTTGGCTGTCGTTGAATCGGCAGTCGCATCGGTCCAACGATTAGCAGGAGAGCGCCGCCAGTCGCAATCGCGAAGTACTAATGCAGCCCTAGACTGACTAAGCGGACCATATTAAGCACAGAAACGTCTCAGAACAAATCGACTCACCTCATTGCTGGCAACAAAAGGTGGGATTTCATATTGCAACAACCAGGCAGACAGCGTCGAAACAACCTATAAAGGGAAATTCAATAGCAGACAACAGTCGTTCAACCTCACTCATGACCAGCAACAGAAGTTCAATAGAAACGAAATATTACTACCCCAAAATATGAGGAAATTCCCTGCAGAAACTACTATAGGAGTGATTTGCCCATAGGAGTGATTCAGGACCCTGGTCACGAATACGACAATCTTTTTTTTGAGGCTGGCACCATTATTTGGCCACACTACTTTTTTCGCCAAATTTGGTGCATACCAGTTCTTTGATGTCCTGATCACGAATATGGCGTTCATTTTCCACTACAGCGCCATTTAGCACTCTGTCAAGGCTGAACTTGGGAGCGGGAGTGTTCCCTTCCTGTCTCTCCGCTGGCGTGCAAGTTTACATTGATTTGGTGAAAAAAAGTGGCGGCCACATGGCGCCGGCATCAAAAGCAAAAGTCATATTTGATCGGAACCCCGAATTATCCATGCAGCGCAAGTTTCAGCAGATTTTATTATGGGGTAGTAAAAAATCAACAGTGCCGAAGTTCTTACCAGAAGACACATTTCGCGCTGACTGCATGCGTAAAACTTCCTAGGATCAGTGAAACCCTTTTTCGAGAACTAATCTGTTTGAAAAAACAGTTTAGTGGGGTGCAACAGTGAGGATGACGAAATGGTCCTACTGACTCCAACAGGACGACCAGCGTGGAATTTGCCTTCAACACTGACGACTCTTAAGTGTAAACAACTATACCTTTTGAATGACATTACTGCACGGTAAGGGGCAGCGTCATTGCTTCTCTCATCAATGTCAGTGCGGTGTTCGTTGCACGATGTGAAGTGAACAGAGCATCATGGTAAAGAAGCATTCCTGGATGCCACTGGGCAGATGGCTGTTGTCGAACGGCTGCCAAGTTATTCACCCAGCGAATAAGCCAATACCTGAGTACAATTGGGTAAATTCCTGCTCAATAGGCTGCGTTTATACTTTGCGGCAGCGTAGCGTAGCGCTTCCAGCGTACGCCAGCGGCAGTGCCGGGGAGAGGATGGATATCGATCTAGCGTTCCCAGCGTCACCAGCGTCAGCGTTTCACCAGCGTTTTGCTAGCGTTTGCAGCGGCAGGGAGTAGAGACTATGTGGCCGTGAGAGACGCGGAATCGACGTGTATTGTAGAGACTATGTGGCCGTCAGAGACGCGGAATCGATGTGTATTGTAGAGACTGAGGGCGAGTGAGAGGCGCGTATTGTAGAGACTGAGGGCGAGTGAGAGACGCGCAATCGATCGATGTGTTTTGTACCCTCCAGCTCTCCCATAGTCTCTACTCCCCTGCCGCTGCAAACGCTAGCAAAACGCTGGTGAAACGCTGGAGAAACGCTGGTGACGCTGGGAACGCTAGATCGATATGCATCCTCTTCCCAAGCACATGCGCGCTGGCGTACGCTGTGAAGCGCTACCGCTGCGCCAAATGGTATAAACGCGTCCTTTAGGGATTTTATAGCGCGCGGTTAGATATTGGTAATATCCACAGGCAGTATTACCTGATCATTGTTACCTACTTGATACTTTGAAGTATATTAGAAAACTGTAAAGACTGGATACCGCTCCTGATCATACCTAGCAATCACTATGGGATCCGCCGTATCCAGCGCTTCAATGGCATCCTCGGCGCCTTCCCATCCACCAAAAATGTCCACTCCGTTGGCTTCGATATCCGGGAAACACTCCGCGATGTACAAATTGATCACTCTGGAACGTCCGACAATGTTAGTAATGTTAGTAATCAAAACCATCTTTTTATCAAGTAATTAAAAGGTTCTGCACCTGTCAATGATGAAACTTGCACACTGGAATCGTTTCTTCTCATCATTCCATTCAACTCGCACCGTTTCGCGAGTACAGTACTCAAGGAACTTGTCAAGATACCTAAAAAGTTGTGATGCTATGGTGAAAGATGTCGGAAAATTTCAGAAATATCGTAAAAACCGGTCAATTTTGACTAGTTTTCAGGTACCTGAAGCATGCGCAACGCTCCTTCGGCATTTGGAGACCGGATTCCTTGCCATTGTCGGAGAGCCCACACGTTTTACGATCCGACCAATGAGTTGGTCCCTGGAATGGTTGAGTAAAACATCTCCGAATCTTCCATCAAAGACGCAATCAGCGCTAATCGCAGAAGTCACTTCGACATGTGAGCTCTTCCCACTGATAGGGCACCATACGAAGGAGGCCAATAAGGGGTACATCGGCGAAAGCAGACGCGCAATGTTTCCAAGTAACATCCCCCCCCGGCCCCATAACGACCAGCTCCTGAACAGATGCTTGCAAACTGAAAAATACCGACCTGCTGAGTGGCAATATTCTTGAAGTACAAGCTCTGTATTTTGGCCATTACTCAAAGGAAAATATGGCAGGAGACACTGGAATACACGATCGAGGTCTTCGGTAACCTGCAAAAAAAACAGCTATTTTTGTAGTTCAGGTAACTTCTTTCAGCGGAATGACGACTGGATGTTCTCACCTTGCCAAAAACACTGAGGCTCTGATAAAAGATTAGAAACAGCCTGATTGCAATCTTGCGAATGGCCAGAAGGTTTCTGGGGTATAGGGCCTTTTTCAGAATCGCTTCAATGGCATGCCGTTGCCATCCTGAATGCAAGTAAATAAGAGGATATGAGTGAGAAATATCAGAACGATTAAAAAGTCGCAAGACATGTATAGTTTTGTTCGCGTCGGATGAAGGGTATGTCAGACGGGATGTGTATGGCGCGGCGTCAAGCCCTTTCCCACCAGTTGTAGGAGCAAGCAAGCAACAAGACTGTATCATATGGTTCGCATAAGTCGTTTGCCATCAGCTGCAGCTTACCCGCTTTTGCAGCTGGTGTAGATTATGTTTGGCGCCATGCCAAACCTATCCCGCCTGACACGCCCCTTCATTCGTAGCGAACAAGACGGTGTAAGATATGCGTTACAACCACTTATAAAGAAAGAAGGTACCATTTCCAACAAGCTCTGGTGCGTAGCAGAGCACTTGTTCAAGTGTCCACAAGCCACTTTCACCTTCCACGGCACCTTGAGGATTGGCTACGATATCAGCTGACAAGAGTAGCTCATCTACCAGGTGAAACGTTTCGAAACTGTGCTCTTCAATCAGCTGACGCTTCTCCTGGAAAACTACGTAGATGCGTTAGTAAGGTAATCGGCGCTGTTTGGCTTGGAGGGTGCATTTTGCACTTTCCCTGCTCCTCTCTGTCAGTTCATGTCAAAACAGTTCTTGCTTTGGTGGAACCTGTAGATTTTGCCAATTGCGAAATGATGCAAGTGAGCCACTTTGGCCTTAGGAATTTAGAGGTCTTCACTAGGTGGCCTGTACAAGCTTCCCCCTCCCCCAAACCGAACTATGCCATAATGCGTAAAAGTGTGCATACCTGTGTTGATAAGGAATCCAACAGAATCTTCAGATGTTTCACT